TTTAAAATTAAAGTTATTTATTTAAAATTATATAATAATATAATATCTAAAATTTGATTGGCTAAAACTGATGACGTTATTGATGATATAATTGTGACTAATTGCAACATATATGTTGTAATTACCAACAAAAACTGCAACTATTAAAATTTAAATAAATAATTGAGGAGTTATCTTTACATTATACTTATTACTATATTTTAAAATTAAATAAGAAAACTACTTCAATACCATTTTGATAACAAAAGCTCAACTTTTTTTCAGAATTACCAGATAAAACAGAAATTAAAGATCAGGATTTATTAGATACATTTATCTGAGATATAAGTAACATACTTATCTCAGTTTCTGAATTAGTAGAAATAGATGAGTTAGAGACTTGAGACTTTGTTTCTTCAGTAGATGCATTTACCTTAGCTTCTGGTAATTTTGAGGAAGCAGAGCTTTGAGTCTTTAACTCATCTTGATCATTTTCTTGAGATGATTCAGAGCTTGATGAATTGGAAACTTGAGATTCAGTAGGTATACTTTCTGAACTAGATTCAGAAATTTCAGTTACATGATTTGAAAGACCTGAAATTATCAAAATTTCCATGGAAGAATTGTCATGATTACTAGAGAAATAGTCAATAACCTTTTGAAGTTCTTCATTAATAAATTTTAAGATAGAATTCGCACTATAAGTTTTAATATATTGAATCTTATCTGTTCCTATTTTTTTAAATAAATTAAAGATTTTTATAGCTCTTTGAGTTTGCTTACATAAATTTTCCCACTTAGTATTGGAAAGTTATTCTATAATAAAGTTGTAAACCAGACCTTTTGCTTTTTTCTTACTAATGTTATATTTGCTCATAAAATATCTAACCAAATTTTTGAATTCTTTAGCATACAAACACCAACATAGTATTTCTTTCTGATTGGCTTTCATTGCATTTTCTTCAGCGTTGCATGCATTTTGATATAAGTTAATGATATTTTTAGCCCTATAAGATCTGCTTTCGCAGTTATCTGAAGTCTCACGAAGTGAGGATGCTTCTGTATTTGTGATACATACACTTTTTTGATCTGAAGATAAATTTTTATTTATATGATTTTTTTGAGTGATATTTCCTGTATTAAAGCTTCTCTCTTCTTCTGTTTACATGAATCCTGGTCATTAATTGTTTCAGTATTGCATAATATATCTGATAAAATATTATGGTTAACTGGAGATAAGTCCTGGGATTGGTTTTTATCTAATTTACGTAGAAGTTTTCTTTCCTTATTACATTGTCTTATCTCATTATAAACCTTTGCCTTGTTTTTCTTGTCTAAGAAATTGTTCATCTCTTTATCCTTTAACAATTTGGAGTTAATATCAATGCACTGATCTATAATAGAGTTGGGTACATTAACAATGTTCTCAGAAGAATTATCACTATCTTCTAGCTGATGATCAAAATTCTATTTTAATTTCGCAACTCTAGCTTTAAGTTTAGCATTTTCAGTGGTAGTATCTATCCTATTTTTCTCTAACTCCTCAATTCTGGTTTTGAGCTCAGTATTCTCTTTTATGAACCACCTTAACTTCGCATTCTCAGCTTTAACTTTGATATTCTCGGCCTCAACCCCAGCATACTTCTTTTTAAGTTCAGTAATCTCTACAATAAGCTTGGAATTCTGTTCTTCTAACGAATTAATTTTGGATTGTATATTTGCCATTGTTTCATATAAGATATTATTTATTTGAATTTTCGAGTTTAAATAAAAATCAAATTGTCAAGAAATTTTACAGACCTCGGGTCGTTCAAATTTCACAGACCTCAGGTCGTTCAAGTTTACCAAAAAAATTCTCGATCATATGCGAGTAATGTACATTGATAACAATACAATAAAATAAATTCACTCAATATACACATGCAAAAGTAAACTGATTATGTATGCGAAATCAGCCACCAGAGCCAGCTTTATTGATATAAAACAGGTAAAAATAAAATGAGATAGAATATAGATTCGATAGAATCTGCAGTCGTACTATCTTCCTCGGCGATATTTTTTTCGAATTTTTAGATTTTTTTATGAATAAACTCTTAGCCATGTACTGTACCCGGGATCTATTAAAGGTTTTAAAATTAGTAGAATATACCAAGCCTGGATATTGTATATGGCCATTTACTTTTTTTTTCGATTTTTTACGTTACACCCTGATCTTGAAATGATTACGATTGGTCAAAATTACAGGGAACAAATTTAATCGCTGAGTTTTTCACGATGTTATGAAAATCTGAAGAATATCAGATATTTATCTGTACGTGTAAAAAATTCGTTTAACACAAAAGTTCGTCAATATAACATCTTTACAAGGCAAGAGTATAATCTTATTTTATATTATCAGTCGCGCGCATCCCTACTGGCGTGTGGCCATTACGTCCTGCGTTAGATGTTTGGTGCTAGTCTCCAGGGAAGTACTTAAGTACACACCTAAGGCCTGATCCCTGCATGCTAGTATCCAGGATGTGTGTATACCTACTGGCGTATGGCCATTATGTCCTGCGTCAGATGCTTGGGGACAAGCCTCCAGGGAAGTATTTGAGTGAAAGTACTCGAGGCTGATCTCTGCATGCTGTTTCCAGTATACCGTTGACTGTGTGTTTCTTCGATTATTAGTTATATTGGTTAACAACTTATACTTCTTTTTCCTTTCTTTTTAAGATGTTCGAGTTTATTGTAACAGAATATCTCAACAATACAAAATACAAGTATTGGTCAATTATCTCAATCTTAAAGTACACAAAATCAAAATGTCAATTATATACCGATTCCATTGACAATCTTAAAGAGGGTATATACACAGCTTTACGTAAATATAAAGAAACCCAGACAATCACATGAACATAACCAACAAACTGGATAAGATTCTATCTAATTTTGAGAAATTATTTTCTACGGCCGAAGTAAAAGAATTTGTCGACAAACTTCGAGAGGAACAAGAAGAACGTGGATTTGAAACAGCTCTTCAAATAAATGTGGCATCTGCCTGTGCAATTAAAGCCTTAAAGGTAAAATTGAAATAGTATCAGAAATAAATTCTACGATGGTCTAAATTACAACTATTAGGACTATCGCATGAATCAAACAGTCGTTAATGAATTAAAAAATAACAAATGCGAGGTTGGTAAATTTATGGTTGTGGCCAAATTTATAACTGTGGACTGATTTATTAATCAGATTTCATTTTTTATGGCATCTTTTAGGAAGGACCTTCAAAAACGAAATCCATGAAAAGAAAAAATAATCTAAACGAGGAAGATGCGAGCTCAGAGATAGAGAATAGTTCAGAATATGATGAAAGACCAAATAAAGTAAGAGATAAAGGCACTTTTCAGTTTCTTTAAAAAATTAATAATCAATATTCTTTTTCAATTGAGATTAAAAAACAGGCTACAAATGGCATTGAAGAAGTCATTAGTAGTAGCGGTGCAAGTGATAAATCAAATGAAGAATCCTTTGATAGTGGCGTAAGTTAATATCAGATTTAATTTTTATAATTTATTTTATTTTATCTAAGAAATGTTGTTTTTGTTAGTATAAACGCCTCCTACTGGTCCACGAAATATAACTGTGATGACCACCCCTCAAAAACCTACTGATACAATTCCAAAATCAGTTCGTGATTGGATTATAAATGTATTGTCTGTAAGTTAATATAAAATTTTTTTTTAATATTATTCCTGGATATAAAATAAATATTAAAAAGACTTCTATTAGTCCGGAAAGGATGTATTCAAAAATTCTATCATAACTTCGCTAATTCCTGATCACAAATTCCGAAAGATCTGTGAAATTATTCTTTATGACTTGTAGGTATTATTCAGGATTTTAAAGGCAACTTTGGCAAAATAGGTTAATTTATACTCTTTCAACTTAGTTTTTCAATGGCTAGCAAAAATCCATTAAACCGCTATATTGGAGAACGAAAGTACACAGTAGAAAGAATTGTACCATTGTTCAAGGCGATACAATCTGTCTATAAAGAATTTATGTTCGATTGGATTGAAGTGCAACTTAATTGCATCAAGGATATGAAGACATTGTTTCCAAATTTTGATATGACGCTTAATAAAGCAAATGGTGTTTGTCTGAAGGTTTCAAGTAATAAGGAAGTAGTATTCATTGAAATAGCAGGAGGTCCAGAAGTTACTAGCGCGGTAGTAAAACATGCAAATAATAACATTGTGGATTCTTTTTTTAAAATTTTAGAATTGATTGTAGAATACTTAAATTGAATAAGGTTGTTACCCGGTGGATTGGATACGGGGAATCTACCGAATAAGCCGTGAGACTGTACGATCACGGATTATCTCTAGCTATTTTTTCGTGAATATTCTTTCTAGTGAAGATGTGGCTAAGACTTTTGAGTAATCATGGGAAAAAATTGTTAAAATTCGAGAAGATATATTGTTACTCTTTGGTTTTAAGACCAGAGCTAAAGGAATACCAGATCTTAATGCTACAATAAAATTTATTAATGCAATAATAAGTAATTGGTGCAGTTATACTATCAGGAGTGGGCAAAAGCTTTCAGGGTCAAAAGGTCAATGAGTGTGAAAGCATACTTATTAGATTCATCGCAAACTATATGGTGGAGCTGGTTTTTATAATCAAGAAGAACTAATAGATATAAAGTTACGTAATCCTGAATATTTTCCTATAGCTCTAATTCTTTTATCATATAAATCTGAATCAGTTAATGAAACTCAAGAACTTTTTGATTCTATACCTATTACTACAGATATCATCATTTCAGAAGTTAGTAATGAGATTTGTGAACAAAGTTCTTGTAATAATATAGTTAAGAAATCTGAGATAAATTTATTGCAATTATCCTCTTTGATATCAACTCAAAATTTATCAAATGTTTCTAAATAAATTTCAGATATTATTAAAGCTAAGAAAGAGATATATAAATTCTTAATTTCTTTATCTTCAGAGTTTCTCATTAAAAATGAATCTGATATAGATGTTCTTATTCTTCTTTTATAGCAAAAATTCCAAATATCTCAAGAAAAACTAGAATAGTGGAGAACCAAGATTATCTTCAAAATGCAGGATAATAATAATTATTGGAAAAAAGAGCGTAAGAGTATGGATAAAGTTACTTTCTTGGAATACAAGCAAAATTTTGAGGCTAAAATGAGAGTTTCTACTACTCTGCATAAAAAAGAACTGAAAAATAAATCTCTAGTAATCATTGAATATATATAATTATTATAAATCTTTTAATAAAGCAAATATAAGATACTAAGACAATATTATCTAGTTTTAGTAGTAATTTCTAAAGATGGTAGCTGCAATTATTATGTTGTAACACTTATGTTGCAACTATATGTTGCAACTTATTAAAAAATTTAATAAAAATTGCAACTTGTCATAACTTATCACAAGTTGTAACTTATCACAACTTGTCACAACTTACTATAACTTATTATAACTTATTATAACTTATCATAGCTTATTATAACTTACTATAACTTATTATAATT